ACTAACTATGGAAAACCTAGAACATTTAGTAACTGTGAACTGCAACAGAAGAGAAGTTGAAAGTTCGGAGAGCTAAATGTGAGTACCATTGGTTTCTTAAATTTGTAATGAAATGTGTTGGCTTTGTTGCACGATTTGTATTTAAGTATAGCTTTTTATTGCAACCGAATCATTCAGTGATTACGTAAAATTAACTTAAATATTGATTTGTTGGTCTTAAAATATTTGGTATAAATCTTTATGTGCATATTTTAGTGCACATTTCGGAAGTTTTTCATGCATAAATGCATACATATTTGAGAGATTATTAGGGCACAAAAATCCGGTCCCTAGTCGTTACAGATTTAATGAGAGCTTTGTGGAGGGTCAGCTTAATGTTTGCGCTTATTCGCTCACTTTGGAATAGGAAATACAATCTTATAAATGTTGTGAATGCCTTGTCTTCGATCATTTCTATGTGTAATATTCATGTAACCCACCTATCAAAGATTACTCCGAGATATTTTACACAGTTTACAAATGGAATATCTTCCATTCAATGTAAGATCAGACATAGACGGATAATGACTGTGAAAGAAGTACGTAGATCCCCTGAGTCTTATCTTCATTAATCTTGATATTCCAGTGCCCACACCAGGTCTCCATTGAGCTGAGACCGCGGAGACGGTGCGCCACTAACGAAACTGACACATTTTCAAAGAAGCGGCAGTGCAGACCGAAACGTCGCCAGCCCTCATTATCCCACCTAATGAAGTCGTAAATATTCCTTGGTTATTCCAGGAATGGCCTTATAAAGCCTTCACACAGACAACACAGAAATCAGTATCTCTGTTGTTGGAACGTGTTTACCGAGCGAAGGCATAGCAAAAGTCATGGCGCAGACCGCATTGTTCCCTTGCGTGTATTCGGTAGCGAGATGTTTCGTAGTATGTTACCTAGCAACGCTGTGTCCATCCACGTTGCAGTATAAATGTGAGTCTTACTAGAACATCAATGGTTGGACGGATTTCTACAAGAGTTCATCTCCCTTAGATGTTCTCGCGTATTGAAATCATCCCTCTTACCAAAAACAGCGTCCTTCAAAATTATCTCTAGAACAGAAATTTCTACCTCTGACGAAACATTGCCTAAAGAATTTTTACTTGTTTTGTTGCACACAGCGTTTGGATTATTCCCAATTAATTGTCACGTTATGAACAAATTATTCATTTTTAATTTTTTCATCAAAGGCCCTACAACTCTTTGTTGTGTCCTGGCCTCTTCTTCAGTTTCGTAAATTTGTAGGACTCCTTGGACGGGGGATCAGCATAAACAGAATAAACACACACACAGACATCCACGCTTTGAGTGGGATTCTAACCCACGATTCCAGCGTTCGGGTGAGCGAAGACAGTTCACGCACTAGACGGTGCTGCCACCGTGATTGACTAACAAATGATTAGCAGAAATTAACTTTGAATAAATAACAATAAAACGATTGTAATTAAAGCCCCTTACGGCCGCTTGATTGTCCCGTGGTCCTTCTACTGCTGCCCCCGTTATTGCCATGTCATGTGTTAAGTATTTCAGGTCTTGCAGTGACCGAGCCACATAAACAATTGGAATTTACATATCTTTTTTCCATTACCTTATTTCCAGAGTTCTCACTGCACCCGCACAGTGAGCATTAATATCTGATTGTGGCCAGTGAAGAGAGGGTAGGTGAGTACTGAAGTAGACTGGAATTTGATATTCTCCCTGTTTTGCGTCTTCTTATATATCTTACTGTAATCTCCGTCCTCCTTGTGTTTACCAAGTAGTATAAAATTCTTGTAGGAATTGATGTTCCTGGCAGTCTTTTAGGTCTACATGTACATTTAGTTGGAAATATTTGAGGTAAAGACTAAACATTTTTTGGCCGCAAAATTCAAATCTCTTCAGTACTGAGCTGAGGTAGGACCAAGGGTGAAAACAGCTGGGTCACAAAATTTGTGAAATTTTCCGTTTGGGATGTTTTGAACTCCCGAAAAATTGGGACAAAAAGCATAATTTAAGTGAATGGCTTTGCGTAATGGCCCCAGTAGTGGGCTGAGTGCTGAAGAGGCGACTGGACATTGTCCCTTCTCTTTGAAATATATAGCAAAAATATGAAATGAATGTGACTGCCTCTCTCGCTCCTAGGAGACAAGACAGAGCAACAATCGTGAATAACAGATCTCAGAAAGATGAAGTGTAAGGGAGCTGAAAATATTAGAGGACAATAAGTTTAATAATTACTGGGTTTCACGCAGCATTTGTGGACCTTGGATTAATGAAAAGTGTAATATTAGAACGGAATGCAGAACTGTTTGTAAGAAATAAGGATTTTACTTGAATTAGAGCATAAGGTAGCCGAATGAAAGTAAATTTAAAGGCCGTTATGTTTCTATGATATGAAGCTTTGTGTTTGAACTATTAACTACCATCTGCACAAAAAATATTGTACCATGTAGACCCGTTGCTATGTAACGACTCTGCAAATAACACCCGTTGCTAAGCAACAAATTCCTAACACTCGCTGCGAAACGTGTTCTCTACGCGGGCGCCGGAGTGAGTTTGTTAGTGAGTGAATTCGTTGAGATACTAGAGTTTTGAGACGGCGGTCCGTCAGTCAGAAGGGTGGAGGTTGGTGCAACATGGAAGTCAGTCTAAGAGTTGGTTGTGAGAGTCCTCGGAAAGTGAAGACTTGAACACGCATGCGCAGGAAGCTACGGCATTGAAGCCGTTAACATGGACTAGTGAAGACGTACACGGTCTGTCCAGGATCCGTTATGACTCACTTTTTGAAATTTTGCCCTGCAATGGCATCTGTTGGCGAGTTGTGGCTTTAAGACTCTTGAAGCTTCAGCTGTGGCTGTCTATAATTTCAAAACGCAAGCATCGCTGTATCATGTGTTCTGACCTTGAATGTAACAGTACTGTTCTGACGCTCGTCGGAAAATGGCGGTTGAACAGAAAGCCAACATCAAATTTTGTTTGAAGTTAGGCAAAACAGCCGGAGAAGCGTACGAAATGATGAAAAGTGTGTACGGCAGTGATTGTTTGAGTAGCTCGAACATTTTTCGATGGTATGCTGCATTTCGTGACGGCAGGGAGGACACTGAAGACGCTCCACGTGCATCAAAGCCGAGAACAAGTCGCACTGAAGAAAATGTGAAAAAAGTGACCGAAATCCTTGCATCAGACAGATGTGTTTCTGCAAGACTCGTCGAGGAGCTTTTGGGAATACCAAAAAGTACTGTGCATCAAATTTTGACAGAGGGTTTGGGCAAACGGAAGGTCTGTGCGCGGTTTGTACCGCACGCGCTGTCAGGCGATGAAAAACATGCCAGAGTGGAACACTGCAAAGACATGTTACGGTCGGCCCAAAGTGATACAAAATTTACAAAATCGATTGCTACTGGTGACGAGACATGGTGTTTTCAATATGAGCCTCTCACAAAGCGGCAGAGTTCAGCGTGGTTGAGCCCAAAGAAGCCGAAACCAAAGAAATTGCGCATGCAAAAGAGTCGAGTAAAGACACTGCTAACCGTTTTCTTCGATTCCAAAGGAATCATTCACAAGGAATTTCTGCCAGAAGGTCAAACAGTGAATTCTGATTATAATCTCGGAGCCTTCAATCGTTTGTGGGCGAGAATTCTTCGAATTCGACCTGAATATCGAGAGCAAGTTTCCTGGTCGCTCCTCCACGACAATGCCCCACCCCACAAATCGAAGAAAAGGGATCACAGTCCTTGATCATCCTCCGCATTCGCCACATTTGGCTCCAGCAGATTTCTGGTTGTTCCCAAAAGTTAATTTAGCGATGAAAGGAGACCGTCACGACACCATCCAGGACATCCAAAGGGAATGTACCTCAGTTTTAAATGCGATTCCACAAAAGGAGTACAGTGACAGTTTTCGAAAACCTTTCAATCGATTCCAGCTATGTATTGATCGAGACGGAGAATATTTTGAATAAAAAGAGAGAAATTTTGAAAATAATTCACGTATTATATTTTTAATGAACACAGTACTAACAGAATCTGGAAACACTGTGTAGCAGACTAAGAGGCTTATTGCGTGTTGTAGTGAATTACAGAATGTAGTTTCTTGTAGTTACTATCTGTAAGTGTTCAATAAATACAGTTACTAATCAAAACCCGTCTATAATCACTCATACACATGACAGTATTATCGCGTCACGGATTTACATTTGTGACACAAATGTCATCACATTCATGACTCTGAGTAAATAACTAACGCCGCGGTGCTGAGCCGTTCGCGAGAAGCTGCCAGTTGCGCTGTTTCTAAACAGTTGCCCTATATTATATGGAGTCCGGTGGTTAATTATCGTGTTTACAAGATCCCTCCATTGGTGCCTATTGTAACCGTACGCATCCTTCACGGATATGTCTTATTTGTTTGTACGTAACGATTAAGTTTAGCTGCTGAAATAAGATGCTCCGGAGGGATCAAGGTCCTCTGAACTGGCCTTTTGTTACGAGGGACAGAAGAGAGGTTAGTGAGTCCATTGCATTCGGGGGGGTGGGGGTAGGTATACATTCTGTCGTCCGTGCCTGTGGAGGTGAAGGACCTGTGGATAGAAGCTTCGAGAAGGCGTGGAGACCGGAAGGGGTCCTTGCGCTTGGTCATGTAGCCTCCCGATAGAAAATTCGAGATCGCTGTAAGGTGGTTTCTAAAAGCAGCGGCGGTGGTAATTGAGGAGTGGGTGAGTAGAAGTCAGTCTGTGAGGGAGTTCAAGGGAGTTAGTCAGTAGAAGTGAGTCAGTGAGGGAGTTCAAGTGAGTAAGGAGTAAAGTCAGTTGAGGAAGTCGAAGTCGAGTAGTCAGTCAGTAAAGAGTCAATCGGGAGGTCAGTGAGTCGAGTGAGTAAAAGATCATTTAAGAGGACAGTAAATAAGCGTGAACTCCGGGAGCATTATCAAAGAGATTGCGAACTGTTAATAAACGCTGATTTATGTAAGTGGATTTCAAAGAAATATTACGCAATCTAGCGAGGAAGAGAAGTTTCTACATAGGATAAATAAAGTTAATTAATCAGAAACTTACGAAACCGAGTGAGATATTTCATTTCCTAAGAACCTGTGCCTAAGTATTAACCGATCCAGCCTGCATCCGAAACGACGTAAGCGAGCCAACACCCGTGTACCCCTGAGATAAAAGACTCATGACCCTGAACTTAGCCGAGGGACTACACCGCGAGGAAGGCAGCGTGAGGGGCGGGTGTACTATCCTGAGCCACATCAATCCAGCCCATACTACCCCATCCACATTTGTCTAAGATTCATTTTAATAGTATCCCCACCTACGTCTAGGACCTCCTAGTGGTCTCTTTACTTCTGGCTATCCTACTAAAATCCTATATTCATTCCTTTTCTTCCCATGCACGCCAAATAATCTGTCCACCTCATCCTCCTTGACTTGATCATTCTAATTATACTAGGAGAAGAGTACAAGTTATGAAGCACGTCATTATGCAGTTTTCTCCAGCCTCCTATAAATTCATCCCTCCTCGGTCCAAATATTTCCTCAGAACCCTGTTCTCAAATACTATCAGTGTACGTTCTTCCCTTAATGTCAGAGACCAATTTTCACACTCATACTAAACCACAAGCAAAATTATAGATTTGCATTGTAACGTATCGAAACACTGTCAGGCAAAGCCCGTAACACTCACACGGCCAACAATGCAGGAGTAGGGTTTTTATGGTCCGCGTACGGACCGTTGCTATGCAGCGAGTGCTAGGCATGTTCACGCGTGCATGGTGGCGTAACACAGTAATATAGAAAATGAAGGCAGATATTTTCTGCAGAACCACGCAGCAGCCAGCGCGCCAATGGACTGGCTGGGTAGCGATCACGTGGACACTCCAGCAGACGAGCACGCAACAGTAGAGCAGTAGGAGAACAGAAGAGCTAAGAGAATGGTAATACAGCGGCAACAAAGAAAACGAGAATGAGAATTGAAGTCAGTGGTCATAGATCAGAGTTCAAGGAGTCGGCGCTCGAAGTAATTCGGCGGTGACAAGAAGAATTAGTGTGTGACTTCAAGTGCTTTAGAGCAGTGGTTCTCAACCTTTATGAGACCGCGGCCCAGTAAGTTCTTTTTTTATAAGACGAGGGCCCAGTCCCAACAATTTACTCCTAAATGCCTTTCAAGTTTTGTTAAAGTTCACGAATTAAGCTAACGTAATGTTAGTAATTAGCCGGTCGCAGTAGCCGAGCGGCCTAAGGCATGTACTGTCTTCGCTCGATCGGAAGCCGGGATCGTGGGTTCCAATCCCACTCAGGGCATGGATGTTTGTATGCGTTTTTTTTGTGTTTGTCTACAGGTAGAGGCCTTGCGACGAGCTGATCACTCGCCCAAGGAGTCCTACCGAATGTGTAAGATCTAGAAAAACCGAAGTGAACGGAGAAGTTCATGGAGGTAGGCCTAGGCCCACTGGGGCTGTAGTGCCAAGGAAAAAAAATATACATTAGTAATTAATTATAGCATAATCATAAAGAGTATTAGTACAATTATGTAATTGGTGTGGCATGTTGACAAACATAAAATTACATTTAAATTAGTTAACAATCACTGGACTAATTAAATCTTGTAGCATTTTGTAGTTTCCTCAGACCAACATAATTAAATTAATCTGTGCTCATTTTCATTGACATATCCCATGCTGATCACCAA